CCCCATCCCCTTCCCCCACCCAGTGAGAATCAAAGACAAATGACCCAGAAATAAAGCTGCTGGACTTTAGCCACCTGTAAAATTCAGATGATTAAAGGACCTCCGTCATTGTAAATGAGTGCTTGCTCCCATCCATCGTAATGCATCATTTCTTCTCTGCATTTTAGGAGCCTTTTTCTAGGTGTGTTTTCATAATTTAGACCTTCCATCGGTTAAAAAATTAGAGGACAAGGTTGCATGCCCCAAGCAGGCACACATTTTTAACTAGAGGCCCGAAGTACCAAATGTGTGCCAGGGGCTCGACCCTCGCAGCCCCAGTTTTGCCTGGAAGGTCATCCATAAGGGTGTCCAGAAGGCCATTCGGCTGTCCGGTCTAATTAGCATACTATGCTTTCATTATTATAGATTGTCCTGATCTCTTCCTTACACCACTGTGGGCCCCGTGTTCTTTGCTGTGGCTGAGCTTGGCTTTAGCTGCTCGCATCTTGTAAATCCCATGCCAGGGGACCTCGGTGCGGATGGCACTGAGGCTTTTCCTCTGCGGCTAACCAGGGTGTCCAGGATGAGCTGAGGACTTTTCCCTGGAGAACCTAAAGCTGGGCCCTTAGGAGTTAACTCCCGGAGTTGTTCGAACCTGACCAGGAACTGCAGGAATGAAATGCCGCGATCTTTCTCTCCACAGAGAGGAAAACAAAGAAGGGCACACACGCATTCCACAGGCTGCCCCCAGTCACCATTTCCTGTCCCTGTGGCATCACTTTTAGGAGCTGTGCTTCCCCACCCCCCCACTTCTTTTTAAATAGAAAGTTAACTTCATATTCCAGATTCCTGGTCATGGTTCTCTGTTGGTTTGATGGCTTCTCTGCTTGCATATTTTCCTTTTTTATCTGTGGTCAATATTAACCCCAGATTTATTGTTGGGGAGACTGGATGTGACCCAAAAGAGGCTGGGCAGATCCACATTACCCTTGTCAGAGTGCGTTACTGAGTAACAGTGCTGATGGCCACAGAATCAATGTGCATTGTACTTGAAGGCGGTACAGATTCAACAAAAATAAATAGATATGTTGTTATATATATGACATACATGATATGGGGTGTACATTAGGCGTCTCAGAATTCACACGTGCACCACTGAGCCTGCTTCGCCCACACGCCCTGCTTCTCCTCCTTTCCCATTTCAGCAAGTCTCAGCTTCAGCCTGATACTTGCTTAGGGCAACGCCTTGGAGTGACGCTGTACTGCTCTCTTTTTGCACACATCACATTATCCAATCTGTGAACTCCTCAAAGATTTGTCCAATTGTCACCTCCCCTGCCACTACCACCGGCTCCAGCGACCCTCATCTCTTACCTGGATCGCTGCCCTGGCCGTCTAACTGGTCTCCCCAACTCTGCCCTCCCCCTTCTCTAGCTTACTCTCAGCACCGCATGCAGAGGGGCCTGGTAGAATATAAATCACTCCTGTCGCCTCCCTGCTAAAATCATGCAGGGACTCTGTCTCACTCGGAGTGAAAGCCCAACGCCTCCCAGTCACTCCAGGTCTCACATCCTCCGGCTCTCGTCATGATTATCATCTCACCTCCTTCACTTTCTCCTGCCCTCCCCTCCCCCATATCCTGGAGCATGCTACGCATGTTCCTCTTCTATACCCTTCTCCTTTGCTGTTTTCTCTGCCTGGAATAGTTTTTCCCTGACTATCTCCATGGCTACCACCTTCACTTCCTCTGGTCCTTTTCAAATATCACTTTCTCAGTGGGGTCTTCTTATTTAAAACTAGAGGCCCAGTGCATGGAATTTGTGCATGGGTACAATCCCTAGGCCTGGCCTGCGATCAGAACCATCTTCCCAGCTGCCCGCAGCTGGTCTGCCCCACCACCATCCACCCCCAGCTTCCCATTCACCATACAGCAATCAGAGCCTGCCAAGAGAGGGGGAAGGGACCAAGAGGTCGGCCATTCTCTCCACTCGCCGACCCCGTTCCCACTACAGATTGCCCTCTGTGTGGGGGGGTGACTGGTGGGACAGCAGGGACCTTGGCCTGTGCTGTCTGGGTCCCCCACCACCTACCCCTGGTTCCCCTTTCGCCATCAGACGATGGGAGCCTGCCGGTGGGGGGAAGGCACCAAGAGGTGGTCAGTGCGCCTCATAGTCACTGGTCAAGCAGTTGTCCTGGTCGTTCCACCTTAGAGTCCATTTGCATATTACCCTTTTATTAGATAGGATTTCAGCAACCATCCACCCACCTTGGTGTTCCCCAACCCCTTCCTTCTTCACTTTTCTCCATGGCACACCTCCATCTAGCATTTCACTTATTTATCCAATTTTTTGTATGTCTCCTGCACTATCTCCATGAGAACAGGGTTTCTGCCTGTTGGTTTCCTGCTGAACCCCCAGTGCCTAGACGGACGTCTCGCTGCCAGCAGACACTCAGCACACATGTGTGGAATAAATGAGTGCCAGTAGGATAAATGAGTGCCTCTCTCCTCACTGCTTCTTTCTGACTTTTTTATAGGACTGTTGTCTTAATTTCTGTGTCCTTTGTTCCTGGAGTTTATCTGGCATAGTAGAAAAAAAAAATAAGAACAGTGGACAGCCACGTACTACTTGGACTTACCATTTGACTCTCTCAGTCACAAGTTGTGTAACTTGGGACAAGTCACTTAGCCTCTCTGAGTTTTCATTTCTTTGCTTATAAAATATGGAAAGCCTTCCTGCCTCCCACTCAGGATTGCTGGGAAGGTTCAGTAGAATCCTGCGTGAAGGGTCGTCAAGGACAAGACGCGGTTTTTCATTTTGCATGGTGTGTGGTCTGGCTGAATGCTGGAGCTTTATGTATAAGACTGTCTCACTTAATTCTCACATCACATCACATTGGTGCACCTCAGTTACCTCATCTGGATCCATTGTAAAGATGAGGAAACTGAGGTGCACCAACAAGTTAAGTGAATTACTCAAGAGTCTAGGCAACAACAGAGCCAGGCTTTGGACCCAAGCATTTTTATTCAATGGCCTGAGGTTTCCCCCATCATGTTCTCCCAGCACAAAGTAAGTGTTCTAATGACTGTACGGAGTAATGAGGTGCAACTTTTCTCTGAAGACTGTTTTTCTCTTGACTGCTAATTAATGTGGCATTTCCCTGATGTGATTCCCCTGCCCCTCTTCAACTCAAACAGGCAGAAATTCCTGTCTTTCCAAAGCAAAAGGTATTGTCAGGCACGCCTCTATCTTCCCTTTCCTCCCCCTCCCCCCCGGGAATGAAACTCTATCACATGTCCCCCGAGGTTTTTGTCGTTCAGACTAACCAAGTCCAGATGGTTTTCGAAAGTACAGACATCGTGGGTCGCAAAGCACTTGTAGTTTATCTCCTGAAACACGTTCTGGACTAAATCACAAACACCCGCGCCCCGAAGGACTCCCCCCACACTCTTCTCCCTTGTCTGCGCCATGGCCTTTCTGTGCTAATGAACTTGTAATTGTGGTTTAATTACTGTTTATTGAAAAATAGCTGCACACAGATCCGTCTCCATGGGAGACGTAGCCCAAATGTTGAGGCCATTTGTTTCTGGTGCAAAACAGCTAATAAATGAGAAGAGTTTTTTTTAAACATTGGGAAAGGAACTTGTGTTTGGTTTGGGTTTATATATTTGGGGAAGTAGATCATTTCTTAAGAGAGCGGATTTAAATATTGGAACGGCACTTCCCCCCAGGCCAGGCACATGGTGATGTGCACAGAACCACAGCGTCATAAAAAAAAGTTTATTAATGGTGATTTGATGGAACACCATACCAAAGAGCTGTATTCCGAAGAACTCCTCAAAAGGAAAGCTCGGAATTGCTTGTAAATTCCTGCAAATGTTTCAGAGCTCTGTAAACCCATGGATTATGTATTACCTCATGTTTCTGAATTCCTGCCTTGGGCAAATTGCCAATTTAGCAACTAAATGACAGTTTGACAATTCTAATAAAAGCCAGCCTCGTTATCTTTGCTTGTATTCCTTTAGGAAGAAAAAAAAAAAAAAAGGAAAAGAACAGGAGAGGGGAGTGAAAGTGATTGTGATTGGAAGCTTCAGTGAAGTTGGAGTTGAATTTTATTCATAATAACATTTTATTAAATTGCGTAATAAGATGCTTGCCTGCTCTGTTTTCCTGCCCCTCTGAGAAGCTGGCCTGGGAGCCGGAGAGGGGCCAGGTCTGCCTCCAGTGCTGCCCCGGGAAAACCAGAGTCACCAGGGCAATTACTAAGGATTGTTTGTCATGTCCTGAACTGTGGCTATTATGAAAGAAGTCTGAGCAGTGTGAGATGCAAACGCTGGCCTCCAGGAATTTATTTTAGAGGGAGCAACGGCCAGGCACACAGGCAATTCAATATAAGAGACTCTGTGAACTTACTAATAAATAGTTGACCTAGCTTGGTCGCTTTAATGGCATTAGGCAGGTTTCTATTTTCCTTACTCATGTCTGTTTATACTATTCAGCAGGTGTGCAAGCAGCACTTTACTTGTAAATGTTCTAGCAATTATATGATTGCTTTTTCTCTCTCTCTTCCTCTCCTTTAATTCTCCCTTCTCATGCTTGGACTGAGTGTTAGAACCTATTTTTTTTTTTTAAAGCCAGCCATGGCCTCTTGCAAATAGATAAAGCAGAACTAAGTAGCCAGTGCACCTCTCTCTCTCTCTCTCTCTCTCTCTCTCTCTCTCTCTCTCTCTCTCTCTCTCTCTCTCTCTCTCTCTCTCTCTCTCTCCTTACATTATGCATCTCTTGTTTCCAGGTTGGCTCTGTATAAAAGCAATAACAGTGTCTGATCAGTGATATTTTTGCTCTGCATCGTTTGCCTGCTTGTCTTTCTATCGTTTTGATTGGCTGACTACGGTGTTGGAAAATGTAGACAACATTGTTAGACTGAAATAGAGTTTCTTTCTTTTCCCCAAAGGAACAATCACAGATTATCAAATGTGCCTCTAAAGAGCACGTCTAAAGCTGATATCTGTTCTTTCCCAGCTCCAGCTGACTGCCTGCCGCCAGGATGGGGAAACAGAACAGCAAGCTGCGCCCGGAGGTCATGCAGGACTTGCTGGAGAGCACGGACTTCACGGAGCACGAGATTCAGGAGTGGTACAAAGGCTTCTTGAGAGACTGCCCCAGCGGACATTTGTCGATGGAAGAATTTAAGAAAATTTACGGGAACTTTTTCCCTTACGGGGATGCTTCCAAGTTTGCAGAGCACGTCTTCCGCACCTTCGATGCCAATGGAGATGGGACAATAGACTTCAGAGAGTTCATCATAGCCCTGAGTGTGACATCGAGGGGCAAGCTGGAGCAGAAGCTGAAATGGGCCTTCAGCATGTATGACCTGGATGGAAACGGCTACATCAGCAAGGCAGAAATGCTAGAGATTGTGCAGGTATGTAGCCCACTAAAAGGCGTGATCCTATAGAATAAAAGTCTAGGTGGCGTCAGGCCCTCATGCGATGACCTCGCATGACATCACAAGATGGCCATGTGCACAGCAGAGGCAGGGCCCAGGGCCACTCCGCGTGGTGAGGCCTGGGGTTCCCAGAGCTCTGTGCGGCACAGAGGAGGACGGTCCTGGTGGAGGAGGCAGGTCGTGGTAGAGGAGGGCAGTTGTGGGCAATCAGCCTGGCAGGGAAGGGCAGTTGGGGGAAATCAGGCCAGCAGGGGGGTGGTTAGAGGGTGATCACGCTGGCAGGCAGAAGCAGCTAGGGGCAATCAGGCAGGCAAGTGGTTAGGAACCAGAGATCCAGCTTGTGAGAGGGGTGTCGGACTGTTGGTTTAGTCCTGCAGGAATCGGAACTAAACAAGCAGTTGGACATCCCCCGAGGGGTTCCAGATTGGAGAGGGTGCAAGCCAGGTCGAGGGACCACCCCCACCCCCACCCCCGTGCACGAATTTTGTGCACCAGGCCCCTCTAGTATATATATTCAAAGAGAAGAGCATGAGCTACAGGTTAGAATTGGAAGGCAGGTACACAGTGTGGCTCAGTGCATATTTTGCCTACCCACTGTTTTTGAGAATGTTGAATCCACATTACTAAACAGGGAGGTTGCACATAAAAATGCAGATTGCTTGGCATCTCTTGAAAACTCAGGAGGTCTGGCAACTCTGGGCCCCCATTCTTACCTGGCGTAAGTCACCTGGGGCTTTGCAGTGACTGCCCCCCTACAGATGGACATGTAGTCTGTAGTTTGTCATGCCCATCCCTTCATTGCAATGACCTGCCTTTTGAGGCTATATCTCCTGCAATTGTAATTTAATGATCAAACTGTGGCCTGGGTTCCAATCTTGTCTCTTTCAGTCACTACCTCCGTGACTTTGATCTTGTTCACCTATGTGAGCTTCGGTCTCCTCACCTGTAAAATGGATCTGCCAGCAGAGCCCACCTATGTTGTGGGGTTATTTTAAGATTACATGTGACTTTCCAGGTTCAGTGCTCAGCACAGTACCAGCCACTGGTAAAGCTCGTCATCACCATCATTCATTTCCATCTTTATTAGACTCTTGAGTAAAAGCAGGGAATCTCTAGCCCTGGTTCTGTCTGGTCGGAGATACACACATAGAATGGGGCCTCCCTCCCTCATTTCAGCAGGAGGCACTCCATTTCCTTTCCCCAAGTCATTCACCCAGAGCCAACTTCCTGTGCAGAACAGGAGGGACCCTGGTGTCGGCCACATTCTCCTCGTAGGAGGGGTGGGAAAGGAACAAAGAAGCTATGGTCATGGTAAGGTCAACGTGATCAGCAGTGAGCGGGACCCAGAGACAGACCTAAGGTGACCGGGACCCGGAGAGGATCAGGAGAGCCCCAGCTGCAGGCAATCAGAAGGGCCAGGAGGGCTGGCGGTTGCTCACTGTCTTGGCAGATGAGTGGGCACAACAGGGAAGCATCTGGCTATAGACAGCAGGTCCAAGAGAGTGGGCATTTGGCTTCCTGGTGGGCTCATCACAGAGGCCAGCACTCGTGCCAGGACATCTGGGTTCAGAGGTAGAGCTGCAGTCCCTGGGATAATGGGGGTGGGGGGTGGGGGAGGCAGCCAAAAGAGTCTGGAAGGAATGGGGGTGGATGAACAGGAGACAGAAAGGCTCCGGCTGCTGAGGGAGAGGGTGGAGGTGTAGCCCTTGCTTTCCAGGAACCAAAGAGTCAGAAAGACTGACTTGTTAGTGAGTCTTGTGGCCAAGGCCTGGGGCCTGCTCCTGCCAGCGGGACAGCAGGTAGAGTGACACAGGGCGAGGCTGTGGGAGCAGGAATTCAGGTGATGGTTCTGTATTAGGACACTCGCCAAGACCCGCCACTGGTTCTTCTTTCTGCTTGGGCCATCAGTGGCTCTTCCTTCATCCTGAGCAGTAACTATCCGAATAAATTGTGTTAGATTGGCCCCTCAGAGGCAGGGATCTTAAACAAAAATAAAGGATTTCTCCCCTGCCCCAAGGATAAATATATAAAAAATATAATGTCTACTGTAAAAGTATGGGCAGTATAGAAAAATATAAGAGAGTATCATTGCTAATAATTTTCTAATATATTCTCCTACTCCTATTTCCATGCATTTAGAAATATCAGTTTCACAATGTCCATAAAATTTTGTATCTTGCCATTTTCACTGAACCTAATAACACAAACATTTCTCATGTTATAAAAACTTTTCATACAGATATTTTAAAGGGCGCAAAGGAATCATACACTATAATATACTTGATTTTCCCTTATTGTTGGATATTTAGGTTGTTTCCAGTTTTCATTATTACACGGAATATTGCAACTTTTAAAAAAGAAAGTAACGAATAATTCTTGTGCGTGAACATTTTCTATATTTAGGATTATCCCCTTAGAATAAATTCCCAGAAGTGCCGTTACTGGGCTGAAGGGAATGAGCATTTATCTCTTTGGCTTGGATACCCTCTGCCAGATGGGTTTTCCAAATGTTCTCCCAAAGTGAGGGAAGGGTGCCCTGTATGGTTTCATTTTTCCCATTTTTCTTAATCTTTGCTAATGGAACAAAAAATTAAAATGTAAAAGCAGCTTCATCTTATCTCTCCTTTTTTATCTGGGAGCGCTGTGTCCCCTGAGGGACAAGGACATTCTCCTCCTGAAGAGACCTGCTTCCTGATGGGGATCTAAGAAAAAGGTGCAGCCATGGTGTCATCTTCCATTGAACATTTTTGCCCAGTTCTCCCGGCCGTCCTGGTCAGTGGTCTGGTGGTCAGTCCTGATGAAGAGAAAGACCCTCTAGAAAGCAGTGCATTCACACATCCATTCCGCACCTGGGATGAAGCACCTATTAAGAGGCTGGTGCTGGGCGTCGTGGTAGAGGGAGGGAAATAGGCTCTCTGTGCTGTGGAGTCCAGCTGCGAGGGAGAGCAGGGAGGGCGGGAACTCCGCAGAGAATGTGCAGGAGGGGCCAGTCAGCACTTGCTGAGTGAACCCCAGCTGACTTCCTCCACATCCAACATGGAATGTAAAAAGTGATCACAAAGGGAAGGAGCGTCCAGCCTGCCAGGCCTCCTCTCTGTGGAGTAGCTCACAGGCCCACAGGAAGTGTCCAGGTCACAGCTGGGAGGGCACAGATTGCTGAGTACACGCATATGCCCAGAGTCTTTAAGAAGCCTGCGAACGGAAAGCTCAAATTTCCTCAGTGGTTCCCTACACTGCTGCACCCTGATGGTTAATATTCACGATGGTAGAGAGATGATATTGCAGCATTGCAATGTGACTTCCAAATTGTCAGTAAAATTAAATTAAATTTAGAACCATTTTCCTATTAAGGGCTGTGCTATTCTATTCTGCTACTTTGCAAACTCACAATGCATGTATTCTGTCTCATTCTTATGTTAATTCCCAGTTTTCAGTGATTCTGAATTAGAATCTACTCTAAGATAGTCCCAAACTTCATGCTTTATTCCCAATGTTGGAAGGACTCCGATAGGGACTCTGTCATACTGAACTATTAATAGTTTCCACTTGCTGCTATAACAGATTACCATTAACTTAGTCACTTAAAACAACACAAAGTGATTATCTTACAGTTTTCGAGGTTAGAGGTCTGAAATCAATTTCAATGGCCTAAAACTCAAGATATCCACAGGCTGTGTTTCTTCTGGAGGTTTTAGGAGAGAGTCTGTTTTCTTGCTTTTCCTAGTTTCTGGAATATTCCTTGGCTTGTGGCCCTTTTCATCCATCTTTACAGCAAGCAACAGTGGATTGACTAAGTCTTACTCATACTGCCATTCCTGTGTGTATCTCCTCTGCTTCTCTCTTCCACTCAGTTCTCCTGTCTGTCCTAGACTGTAGTTTAGTGGTTAGTAGTATATTGGGATCCCCAAGATAATTCAGAATAATCTCTAAATCTCAAGATCATTAATCACATCTGCAAAACTCCTTTTACTATGCAAGTACTGAATATTCATAGGTTCCAGGGATGGACACATTTTGGGGGACCATTATTCAGTCTACCACATATGCCAAAACACAGTTATGCTCCCTTTTAAGAAATAATTTTGTGCTTAATGAACATCTGGATGAATAAGGAAAACCATATGCAGATTTATTTTTAGAGTCTTAAATGAATATTTTTACATTCATGTGTTTGTTTAAGTGACAAATTTAGGGACACGATTTAAGCCCAGTATTTTATCATTTCATTAAAATCGCTTCTCAGGAGTCTTAAGCCAGATAACAACTCTGACCTTTTCCCATGTTACAGCAGATCCTCCCTTCCCGGTGGGGTCAGCCCAATGCTGCAAGAGGATGAAGACTCCTTTCTTCCCTGCAGTTCTGTGTCCCCCAGCCCAGCCAGAGGCAGGTCTGAGTACACACACCCATCACAGTGCAGGCTGTGTCTGAAGAAGGGCCAAGGAGCGCATGAGTGGCATTACCAGTTGGGCCATGAGTGCTTAGATGTTCTCTGTGACCTTGCAGGTGAGGGAACACTGAATTTAGGGATCCATCAGTGGAACCCCAGCACTTCCAGGGAGAGGATGTAGGAAGAACATGGAGGTCAACTGTCTCCCCTTCTGTTCTCAGAAAGTAACGGAGACCCTTGAAATAATGGTAGGATTGCCATTGGTTAGGAATGATCAGTGTGTCCAAAACAAAGATGAAGTGGGAACCAAAAGAAGAATTGGCATGTGAGAGCTGACGTCTTGGTCAACATTACCTTGACTCCCTCTTTTTCAATCTCCCTTTTCCTTCACTTTCTTGGGCGGGTAACTTAATCTTCCTCTTCGTTGTTTTTATAATTCGTGAACTGAAACTATTTATAGCACTGGACTCACAGGTCATTGTAAGGGATAATTAGTTATTACAAGTAGAGCACCCAGAGCAGTACCTGTCATGGATTGTTACTCAAAAAATGTTGGCTGCTATTATTCTATAGAAGTTTCCAGAGCTTC